TAGATCGACTGTTCTGTAAAACATCACGAAGGACAGTTGTTTTCCGATGTTTTATTTGTTTTAATGGCTTATCTTGATTTACGTGTATCATTTCTGTCACTTTCTGTATAGGGCAGGCATCCTACAACACCTGAAATAGAGAATATCCCACCATTTCGAGGGCCAAAACTGCCTTGGAGATTGCAGGATCAGGATGTTTGCTTACTCAATGCTAAGTAATGCAGACTCTTGGATTCTATTTCAACCTCCGGTTTCGGCGTCGGTCTCGAGGCGTGGGACAACCTGACAATCCATGTTTCATATGTGTTTGTTTCGTTCCATTGGGGGCAGAGTTCTTACATGGCCTGTACATGGTAAACATACATATGAAAGATGGTCTGTACATGGCCTGTACATGGCAATTCCTTTTAGACTCTTTTAAAGATGGTCTGTACATGGCCCGCAATTCCGGAATTCTTTTGCTGGCGCCAAATATGCCTTTGGACCTCTGAAGTATATACCCTAGGCCTCCAACCACCATCATTAATGGTGTGCCGAACAACCTTTGCTTTTACGGAGTTTGCACTACAACACCAGGGTCACTACAACACCAGGGTCAATTTGTAGAAATGGTCTTGGAAGGCTATACAATCTTCCCATGGAGTGTTTGGCTTTCCGGCTTTCCGTTCCACAGAACGGATGGACGAGTTGAGTGTTTACGAGCTCCGCGGCACCCGTCCGGCGTCCGGCGTGATACCGCCAGGTATTGGTTCCACTTGTCGGCGCAGGTGGCTTTCGCGATCCGTGAGCTCATTGCCACTTGGGCGATCAGTGTCTTGCTGGAACGGCTCAACACACCGAACTAGTGGTGCTAGCTGTTGGCTTGTAAAGAAAGGCAGCGGTAAAGGCAGGAGTGTGTGTCTGTTTGTTTTTGTATTTTGAACATTAGCTACTCAGTGATAGATCGATCCACCTTGGGATTCGATGCAGGATGCCGGGAGGCTGGGAGAGAGTTCCAATGTGTTCGCTGCCATCGAATCCTGGTTCTGTTTTTTTTTGTGCCCTGTGGAAAGACCTAGGAGGTCTTGCCAGATATTTTTGTAAGTACGAGTGAAAGGTACCTTCCTGCAGATGAACATGGAACCTCCAAAACCACAGGGTTGTAGAGGAAAATCTTCTAGACTCTAGAACTCAATTCTCGCGGTCCGTGAGGCCGTCTGCGAAGTGGGGGGAAGACTTGATTTACCCAAAACCTCACACCTCAAGGGCTGGGCCGATGGAGAAGACCCAAGCTCTCCAGGTACCTTCTTTTCGAACGGGACTGGGGTGGGTGCCCGGAGGGTCAGCATATTTTCGGAGGTTCGACTGGAGCCCTAGGGCTTGTGTGACTGCTGCGTGGCTAGGTGAATCGCGCTCCGTGTGTCAGTGTGTCGCGACTGGTTCTTGGCCCTGGCTTTTGGGTTTTGGGGGTCAACTGATCGGCATATATGGCAGTCCCATGGAGTGTCTGGGTAATGGATCTTTGTGAATCCTTTGCTTTTTTTTGAGGCGCCGAGTGGTCATTTCTTCTACCCATTGGGAGCTGTTTTGGTCGAACATGTAGGAACTCTTCTGGAGGAACCTCCAGTGTGGCTTCTATAATACTACCACACGTTTTTTTGGTGTTCAATCTGAGTTGCTCTATATTTGTTTCCCGACACCCCCAGTATACATAAACCACTCACTACACCACTAGGTATAGTGGGTCCCACCGTCGCCACCTCGTCTTACCTCAAAACCTCGTCTGTTCCCTGTTGACACACGTCTTCCGTCGTGGCCAAGGTGACGTCTTCCCTGAAAGGATGGCGATGGGCACCTGAGATGAAGCAATGGTGCTGGGCAAGACGGTCTTTTCGGCGAACAAATGGTGTTCCAAAAGGTGTGACTGTGAAGTTGTTACAATTCTTTTTTAATTAGGGGCTTTTGGGATGGGGAGGAGTCCTGATTGGTCGGGTTTGCCGGTGATTTTTATAAAGCTTGGATGTTCAACCCTGGCTTTGCTCAGGATGTAAGCAGTGATGGTCGATCTTCTTTTGTTTGGGGAAATTTCTTGGGGTCTTAGGGTTTGAAAGCAGTGCAACGGGCGTTTTGCAACGTCTTCCCATGGGCTCTACGGACTTGGTGCCGCAGGAAGACGGGGAGCCGTCCTGTGCCACGTCCCAGCTTGATGCAGATCTCAGCTTGATAACTGCACGAACAGAAACAACCACCAGTGACGAGAATACCGGCTGCCCCCCCCTGGACTGCCCCTTAATGAGGCTTTATTTATGACCTGGATTAAAGCTAACTCTAATGAATCACAAAATCATAAAAACAACAAACACATTGCAACATTAATGCACAGAAAAATCCAAGAGTAATACAAAAGAACATACAAAAAAACATAGGGCGCACAGTTCACAATGAGCAGGAACACTAGGTTGCTGCCTGACACCAACATATAAAATATAAAACTCTTATACCTATACTCAAAATATCCTGGTCTATTCTCAATGAGCCTCTTGCGTGATCTTTGCTTTGTTGTGCTGGCCTTTGTCTATGCCACATGCAGCCTCTACTTGGGTTTCAATCAGTGAACAGTTACTTGTTGCAGTGCCTCTTTGACAAATGTTGTGTCCCTTTCTTCCTTTGGACGTGCTGGTTTCTATCGCAGACTGTCCAGTCCGCTTGTGTTTTTGTGTGACTGTGCTATTTTCATTCCTTTTTTATCCTTTTTTTCTCCTAATTTTTGGTATTGTTTTTGTATTTTTCTTTGTATTGTTTTGTTTTTTTCCTAAACATATAATTCTTAACTTTTTTAAACTTTGCTTCTTAGGCAGCTCACAAGGCTTTATTAAGTTTTCACACTTCCCTATTCTCAGGGGGGGGCAATCCAGGGGCAGCCAGGGGCGTCTCATGAACCAGTTCTTTCATACGACATCACTTTCTAACACGTGCGGCATGTGGCCCATTAGGCCCATTAGATAAACATAATCAGGATTTCACATCCTTTGATGGTCTCGACTGCTTCGTGGATTTGGCGTATTTGGGAAGACAAGACTTCGGCAAATGCCCCAGGGATGCCTATGCCGCATACCACTGATACCCATCGTCCACTTTTTGGGACGAGTGGGTGCCGCTAGGGAATCAACGGTCGGTCAGTTGGACTGTTGAAGGGAGTCCGAGTCCTCTGACTGACTGAGGAGCTCATTTTCGTGAACGCTGCCTATTGGCTGACCCTCGCGCATCTTGACTCTGGGGGGGTCTATGGGGGGATCTGCACCGATCTGCAGGGGATTGCTTCAAGTTGGGATGGGTGAGGAGTTGGAGAAGGTGCACTGCCTGAACGAGTCATGGAAGTGGAACATCAAGCATGTCCGACATCCAAAGTGATCCTTTAGCCATGCCATCCTCGTCCGTGATGATGGGTTTGTGTAGCTCATGGAGGTTTGGCAAGGAACACGTGTATGGCCTCGGCGAGGAGAGATGGAGAGACAACTTGGCACTGAAAAAGGCCTTCTTTTTCTGATGCTTTCACATCCATGCTCGCTATGACGATCTTGGAGATCTAAGACCTGGTGACGCGTCCCCGCCTTTAGAATCGAAAGGAAATGCAGTGTACAATAGCTAAATCTTCGAACTAGACAATCATGTTTGCCTTTTCTTGAGTAACACCAGCCCAAAGGCAGACGACACTCTGCACAGTTGGAAGATCTAGTCACTATAGTGGATATGTCTTATATATCTGATCCTCGACGTCCTTGATCACTTCTGGTCTCATTTCTTTGTGAATCAAACATCGAGAGTCTTCTCTCGCGCCGGGGTTTCGCGGACGGAGAGTGGTCCAAACTGTTACTAGTAGCGATGCACTTGTTACTAGTAACTTCTTGTTACTAGTAGCTTCTTGTTACTATTAAGGCACTTGTTACTAGTAGCGATGCACTTGTTCCTAGTAACGGAGAGTTTGACAAGTGTTGGGAGCCTAAAAACATGATCGTCGTGCCTTGGAGTGATCGTCGTGGAGTGATCGTGCACATGAAGGTCAATCGACGAATGTCTTTTCCATCCTGGACGATTTTAAGCCCATGCCTTTTCCGAATCCATTCTTTTCAAAGAATCCAACATCTGCTCGAACTTTCCGACGGCCCAGTTTTCGGGCCTTTGGGGTGAGGGTTGCTTACGAGACGCATCCTCTTCCAGCCTTCCTGGCTTCTCTTCCTTTTGGCAAGCAAAAACCCCATGGTAAAACGCATGTAAGTTGGTACGCAGGAACATGCAGGAACGCCCACTCTTTTCCTTCCACACACTTCCCATGGTAAAAACCCAACCGTTTGCAGCGAACAACGCGTGGGGTTAGAGGTGTGAAGACCACGCCCGTTGGGTGTTACACCCCACCCAGCCCGGGCCCCGCATCGCTGGAGCCGGGGGTAGCGGCAACGGTGGCGAAGCGTCCAAACGTCCCAGGATTACCATCAGAGAGGCACGGTGGGATCAGTGTGTGCCTTTGGGGGGCTGGAGCCGGGGGGGAACGTGGCTGGATTTCCGGAAGACTTTCTAGCTTGTACTTCTGGGTCAGGAACCGCAAGCCGACTTGAAGATCCTATTCATCCTTGCACCTGTGGCACGAAGTCACTTCGAGCTGGCGAACGCCCCACCCACCCCACGTTGGCCGTTGTTTTGAGTCCCCGCCCCGTTCTTCACACGTCTTCCAATGTCGCCCTGTTTCCAATGTCGTTCTTTGCGGGAAGGCCACAAAGGGCATCGTGACACGAACGGAGCGATCGGACGCTACGAACGGGCGCTCCTGGCCTTACTAGGAGCAAGGTTCGCTTCGTTCGGAACAAAGGGCATCGCGCCCCGAACGGAGCGAGGACGGGACGCGACTTCCGTGTCGTCCGCCAGGTCTGGTGTTTTTCTTCGGTGCGGCAAGGGAAGGAAGCGCAGAAAGTGGCGGTCGATGGGCTCCTGGACATGCTGCTTCTTCCGGTGCCTCGGTGGCAGACATGTCGATGGATTCACTGGAAGGACCTGGAGGCGACGTGGAACCCGGACTGGAGCCATGGACGGACATCAAGGGAGTTGACACTGGGAAGAGATGGGAGGAGCCAGGGAAGATCCTCTTCACTGATGCTGATGCTTCACTCTCTTCTCACTTAGCCATCCTGGAGGGTTTTCGACATCAAACGGCCGAAGAGGTGATGCCTCTTGTAAGAAGATAGACCCAGAGGTGTTCCTACCTTCCTCCCCTCCTTGTGCCCCCTTCCCTGTGTTTCCACCATGTTAGGCAGTAGGGGCTACCCTGCAACAAGCAACGTCCTGCAGTGACCTACTCCTGAAACCCTTGAAGCAGCCACCCCATGGCCGTGGGCTGGATTCTTGTTACTCTCCGGACCTTTTCTTTGCGGAAATGTCCCGTGGCAGCTTGCCGGCAGCTTGCTTCCATCGCATCACGAACTCGCACGAACGCACGAACTCGACGATGTTCGAAGGTGAACATCATCTTTTTCTGCGACGTGTGCGTTCGTGCCCTGATGCTGGAGCCCGACTCCCAATTGGCACAGCGCCTCGGCGCGGAGCGGGAACGTGGGACGTACCGTACCCGAACGCTGCAGGTCACGGTCGGACCTTTGGGTTTCAGGAAGGTGGTCGTCCTTCGATTTGTTGAGGCTGCGGCCTGTTGAACATGTTATGGAAACTACCATGCATGGTAAATCCGCGTGCTCCGAAGGTGCCGGTGCGTTGTCGCGGCTCGTGGCAATCACAAGAAATCTGCTGGATAAAGCTCTGGCTTGGGGGGCCCGATCTGTGTTTTGCAGTGTTTTTTGAAGATTGATAAGAACAAATGGATTGGTTTTGGACCACATGCTGGCTATGCCAGTTATGCAGGCAGGGTCAGACCGCATTGTCGACACCGCAGACGTATGTGTAACCCGGGGACACTGCATTATTGACATCGTTGGTGTGTTCGTCCGTGTGTCCTGCCGACCGACGGAGACAGACCGAGACAGACCGAGACAGAACCCTCCGAGGGCACGAGTTGCTATATAGTTCCCGGCTCCGCGAGTGCAGGTTGCTGCCAGGCCGGTAGGGTGCCAATGACACACTTTCCCATGTATGTCTGGATGTCTGCTTGCATGTATGTATGTCTGTATGCATGGATGCTTGCCTATGTCTGTGTGTGTGTCTGCTTTCCCTTTACTCTGCGCGGGGGGGGCTTCGACCGCGAAGCGGTGTGAATATATGCCATACCTGGTTCTTCATCCCGTGACCGTCCTTGATGTCGGTTGGTTAGGTCACGAAAACGCCTAACAGAAAGGGTCACTTAATGAAGGACTCGAGGTCTCCGACTGGGGCACGAACTGAAGACACTGGTACAGAATGACCCCTTTGGTATTTGATGGTTTTTGCATTGGAGCCTTCCACTACATAGCTTTGGGCCACTTAGAGGAGACACAAACACTTAGTCACTTAAAATAGAACACGAGGAGTGTAGTCCTTCACTGGCCCCCCCATTCCTTGCTCGATCTGTCTATCTGGTTCTATGTTCAAACACTTGGTTGATCTGATGAGAAAGGTGTCCAACACCTCTTTTCGCAGGGCGTAGAACCTGCCATGTTCACGCGGATCAACACCTCTTCGATTTGGAATCCGTGCGACGAATGCATGGTGCAACACCAGGATGGTGCCCGTGATCATCGAGAGTGGGGACATCTATGAAGCTTTTGCCTTGTGGTCAGTCCTGAAACTCTTCGTGCAGGCGACGTGTCTCTACCCAGTTTCGCTCCTCGTTTCGCGGCTTTGAGCCGGGTCGGGTTGCGGAAGAACTCGGCGCGGACGTCGGACTGGAGTTTTCGCAAAGAAAGTGAAAGAAAGACTTGATATTAGGCATTCGGACAATCTATAATTGTTGCCATGGTAGATGCTGCTGAAGCCTGAATTCGTGAAAACTTCCCGGTGGCGTGAGACTTCTCAATCATATCGACAGTTCGAGTGCACGGTTCGCAGCTTGTGCTGCAGGCTTGGTCTGCTCTACACACTTCTGGGAGTTTCAAGCACCACACTCCAACTCACTAACATGGAAGTGGAACCCTCCCTGTTTGTAGAGGAAAGGAGTCTTCCTTTCAGGGCAATTGGGCCATCCACATCACCATCTTCCGTGGCCGGAGTGGAGAGCGGCCGTCCAGTGACAGGCCGTGCCGGTGCGCCTGACGTTCGACCGGTTGGAACCCGTTCCGCTCCGCTGGCAGGTGGTGGAGGCGGAAATGGCCTCCGATCGCAGCTCCATCAGGCGGGACGGAAAACGGGACGAGCCGTTTCGGACGTGGGGAGGTGGGGAGTCGGTCGGAAGAGGTGAGCGGGGGGTGGTGGCCACACCCCAAAAGGGACGACCTGACCGAAGGGAAGGGTTCGATGACAGGGTGATGACAGGGCGATGGAGGTATCGATCTGGGAGGTTTGTGCACTAGGTCGAAGCGAACCGGACCGAACCTGATGGTTTTTCTTCGTCCTGGGTGCGGATCGGTGCTTTTCTAATCGATCCCCTCAAGGCCCAGAGACGCCAGACGTCCAGGGCAAGGCAGTTGGAAGTTTTTGGAGGCCCAGACCGTGAAGGTGGGATCAACGAACTTCGCATTTGGCGGGTCGATTCAATGACATTCGATGATCCAACGAGCTGCTGGCCAATTCGGAAGGTGAGGGAAGATCAAATCGGCCAAGTCTGGAAAAAAAGACGAAGGTGAAGACCAGTCAGTTCGGATTTCCCATGCCTGGCACCATCTTTCCTCAGAACCTGTTTCTCTTTTGAACAAGGATGGGACGGGGAAACTCCATGTTTGACCAATCGGGTGTGTACACAAGCGTTTTGTTTTTGATACCGACGTCTGTTAGCACGCCCCGGAATTCTCGAGACTTCTTGCCCTATAGCCTTCCAAGACCATCAAAAAGATGGTGGACCTGTTTTGTCGTGTAAAATCCCCTATGACTATATACCTATAGACCATCCCAGGGGTGTCCAATGGAGATCTATATAATAAGTAGTGTAGGGATGTGTAGGGTAGTCCACCCAGACAGGATGGTCCTGGTAAAGTCTTTAAAACTATCTAGGAGCAAGGACGCTACGCTCCTGGCTCCTGGCATCGCGACCCGAACGGAGCCTTTCGGGCATCGCGACCCGTCCGTCCTCGTCGCGTCCACCGTCGTCCGCCTCGTCGCCGTGTCGTGAACAGCTTCGAGTCAAAGCTTCGAACAGGGAGAGGCCACGTCAGTCATCGGACCTGACCTCCTCAACTGCCACTACTATAGACTGTAGACCCCTTCAAACAAACTTATATACCTGATATGACCCATAGACATATTTATGCCCCTATGAATCTGGGCCCTCAAACAACACTATAGGGTTTGGTTCGGATCCGAACCCCTGCATGCTGGAGAGCCCGTTCGGATTTGAATATGATGGAGGGGTTTTGGCCATCCATGTCTGGGGGACCTTCTTTTTATCAACCCTAGAAGCCCTAGACATGGATCCCTATTGCTTTGCAACCCGACATGGAGTTCATAGAGATGACTCGCCGACGAAGCTTGAAGTCTTTTGGAGTCCTGTTCATGTTTAGTGGACTGGGCTTGTCATCGGTGTGCAGAACAGGAGCTGCGTGGTGTTTTCCGTGATTTGGACATGGAATGGTTGATTCATTGCAGGCTAAGTATTTACAAATGACCAATTTCAACTTCAACTACACTTGGATCGTGAACCACATCAAAGCAGAGCGTCAATTTCACCGTTGCTTTGCACATTACGTCGCAGTCTGCAAGAACTGAGCACAGGAGGCCCATAGGGGGGGTAGGCCCTGTCCTTGAAGTTGGTTGGGTTCACAAACTTGTTGACTTTCGCTTGCTGCTTCGTCGCGCTCAGAGCGCCTCTGCCTCCCTCGAAAGTGTGTGTGTGAAAGCGCAGGTGTAGCTGGTTGCCGAAGCTCGAAGGTTAAGGGGCTGGGCCTTTGGTTGGGGTGGTGTCCGTGCTCCAGCGGGCCAGCTGGGCTGCCTTGCTGTGGTGCTTTTGGGTGCCTCGATCCCCGCCTCGATGCACGAGGTCCTTCAAGGCATTCAAAGCGATCAGCCTGCAAGGTGCACCGGCTTGGGGTGGTTCAGGTGCAGCATCTTCAGATACGCTTGATGATAACTGTGATGGATTTGGGGGTTAATCTGATGCCCAGGAATGGGAGGTTAATTGCGTTTTGTAAGCAACCGGTGAGTTCTGAGCGCAAAGCTTTGGGGATGGTGATCTGCCGTCCAGGTGTGAAGGCGTGGGTTTGGATTCAAACCGCCGCCGTCGTGTTGCAACTGGGCTGCGCCAAAGGATATGCATCACCTCTGGTGTTTTTGAAGACAATGCGTGAACAGACGGTCAGCTAGCGCAGCTAGCGTTTGACCATCTTGGACGGTGCTGGGTCATTCACCTGGTTTTCCTTCAGCATCAACACCTTCCGACTCTCCCACATGTCGGGGTGAGGAAATTGACTCTGCGCGGAGTGGTGGCGGTTTATGTGCCAACCTTCTGCTACTGGGCGTCCAAAAGTTGCATGAGCTGTGAGACCTGGTACGAGGCGCGGTGATAAATCACATTTGGTGTTCGGCGATGGGAGTTGACCAGGGGGGGAAGAAGGACCAGAACATATGACTCAGGTTTGTTGGTCCTTCAGTAGTTGTAAACAGCAACAAGGATGCCAGCAACACAGGACATTTGTTTGTTAATTGTAATTTTTAGTGGAACTATATCTAACTCCCTTGGTTCAGGGATTGTGGACAAGGCTGGTTGCTGCAGGTATGTTTCTTTGCCACGTGAGATTCAAGGACCCAGTGACAGCAAGGAGGTTGTTGCAAGAGTTGTGCATGAGTCACCCCTTGTTTGAAAACTGAGGACATCCATGCAATTTCACCTGCATTTCCTGCTGTTTCACCTGTATTTCATTCACCAGAAACCCTCATAGAATCTAGGCCAGCCAAGAAAGAACACATGTTTGGTGACCTGAGATGAATGTCCCAGATTGACCCTGGACCATTTCGAATAATGTAGGGAGTCAGGTTGGACAGTGAGGGTGTGACGGAATGGTTTTTGTCTCAGTCCTTAGTCCTTCGCAATATGAAAGATTGGACTCATGGTCAAAAGTCATTGAAGATCAAGTTGCACGCAACAATGTGATGGCATGGGACGACCTGGCAACCTGGCATGGGTGATTTGCCGACCTGTGCAAGTGGAAGACGGACGGTGCCAGACATGGGTTGCTGAGTCTGGCCATGGTTTTAGCACCAAAGCGGGTCATGTTGAATGAACTTCACCACTGATCCCTCGACGGATCCGCTGCTTTGGACGGATCCGCTCCGCTAGGAGAACGTTGCAACCGCCTTGACCGCTGTGACCTTCTTGCTGTGTATCGACCTCAGCGCTTTTGCGAATGAAAGGTGCTCCGCCTCGACGCGTCTCAGGACTTCCCGTCGACGGAACCATATGCATCGGTTTCGCAACAGGGGGGTATGTATAGGGGGTGTCAAGTGGGGGGGGGTGTCATGAGATGTTCCGGTCTTATGCATAAAGTTGGAACTGACCACCATGATAGATGATGACCACTTGGTCTTTGGGGTGCCCCCCACCGCTGTTCCGCAGCTTACCAAGCAAGAGCCTCATGGCAAGGCTCCTTCGCCATCATGTTTGTCTTCTACTTTGAGTCTGGCTATCGCCACCAGCTGGAGAAGACTGAGCCAATGTGGCCTGGCTTGAAAAAGACGAACTGCAAGCCTTCAGTGAACTGAGTGACGAGTGACAGTGTCTTCAGGGCCCTTCCTACCCATGGAAAATCCATGGAAAAAAACAGTCAGATCAAAGCCAGTCAAAGCAGGTTGTTTTTGGGGGGATGCCACCCCAGCAGCTTCCAAGTCGAATACCTGGCGACGAACATCTTCTTCGTGGGATGTGATGCACCGACCGGTCCGTGAACTACACGGTTTGACACCCAGATATCCATCCCTGCGTAGGCAGGCAGGAAAACCGGTGTTCGTAGAAAAAACAGGTCCTGCCCATGGGAACTAAGCCATCTCCGGATGGTGTTGTTTGGTTTTCTGGTTCCGAGTTCTGATGCCCTTTGAACCTCGAGCCGAGCCGGTACGCGGAACCCCCGGGCCGGAGGGTGGCGGACGCCCTTGAGGTGGAAGTTCCTGGGCGTCAAAGGCCCTGGGATGGAGGGACCTTGCTTGGTCCCAATCGGAGCCGTTGGTTTTTTTGGGGGGGGAGTTGGATGTGGATGGGTGGAAGAACAGGGGAATTGGACGGTTTGATGTGGAAGGTTGATTGGAGACGGGAGGTCCTTTTCAAGGTCCTTTTTTTCGTCTCCTAGGGTGTTTGGATTGGATTGGGTGTGGGTGGTGGACGTTGGACACATGAGGGCCGGAAGATGTGTTCATGCTCTGCTCGACAGCCTTCGCGCGACAGCCTTGACCAAGCCTTCTGCCTTGTATAAGGCGACATGGTGCCTGCCTGATTTAATAACTTTCAGCGTTTCTTCTTCCTTGGATTGTTTTGGCTGATTTATTCTAAGCGTCGTCGGATAGGTCTTTCGGATTCTCAAGAGACATAGGTTGTGAGCTTGCTGGCAGTGACGAAATGAATGAGTCAGTGCATGCTAGAGCACTTCACGCACCCCGGCATCAAGACCTTTGATTTTGCTGTTTTGGCGTTGCTTCTGCAGTGAGCTCTAAGTAAACGCAGCCTACGTCGACGTAGTCTACAGTGCGGCGTCCAAGTGTTGAGCTGCAGATTGCATTCCAAAGACCCGTTCTGAAAACACGATTCTTCAGATGAAAGCCGACTGCTTGCAGAAACAGTCCCACACAAAGGGGTGTTTGAGGCTTCAGGTCTTGCCTGTAAGGCTCGCCTTAATTTTGACATTCCCACTCATGTTCCTCGACTTGGAACAATTCAGCTCGCAAAAATTGGGCAATGCTGGTGTGCGCTTCAGTCTGCCAAACTGGGGGGTGTAGAGCGAGACTTTCATGAGACCTTTTTTGGGACTCACAAAGACTGAAGTACTGGTGGTTCAACTTCAGAAGGGGGGTGAAGTGCAAACAAGACACTCATCAAGAACTCAAGCAGCTCAAGCACTTCACCTTGATGCATTTCGAGGAGTGGGCCTAGTTGTAGAAGACATTGAATCCCATCAAGACTTTTGAAGCCTTTGAAAGGAACAAGGCACCGGGATACCTAGCATCGGCATACCCGCGGACCCTGGCACGCATGCGGTTCTGACCTGACTCGCCCATGTGTCAACTCGCGAGTTCCACTTCGACGTGTCATTCGGCGTCCGCGCCGCCGCTGGCCGGCCGCGCGGCCGCGCAGGGATCGTCTCGGTAACATACTTCCAGTGGTTGGTGATCGAAGCCTTGGCTTCTTTCTGGCACTGGGATGAGTCCCGGATGTACCTGGTGCACTGCCTCCTGGATGTAGCGGGATGGAGGGGAATGAGTGGAGGGGAATGGAGGGGGCAGGGCATGTTCGGGTTGGGGGGAGCCTACCAGCAGTTCAGGGTTGACGAGTTAGATATCCTCAGGAGATAAACATGCAGTTTTTTTCAGTCTTAAAACTCTTTGTTGTTTGACTTTCGGGACTACCTCAGGCAAATTCTTCCAACACAGAAGACTGAACAGTTTCCTGGCCAGACCAAAAACGCCCAGACCAAAAAAGGAGAACAGCACGTCAGCTTCCAGCAAAAGGAGAACAGTCGCCTTCTCGCTAGGTTGCGTCCAAACTCCGTCCAAACTCGCGCGGTGGAGTACGCGCCATTTCAGGCCTCTTGTACGCGTGTTGGATGCCCTTGCTGGCGATGGTCCACACCTTCCTAGCCACTCGGTGACCGGGACCGCGCGGTGTTCGACCCGGACCCCGGACCTAGTGGATCATGCATGGATCCACCCTACTGTAGGACTCTTGAGGACCATAACCCCCTATTTGAATTGAACATCCTCTTCTAATATGTGGGGGTGTGTATATGGTCCTGAAGAGTCTACAGTAGCTGGGTGGTTGGGATCAACTTGCCCCAGATCGATCGACTCGGAGAGTTCACCACATCGACGGAGGCCCGGAGGCCGGACGCTCGTGTCCACCGGCGCCCGGACGCGGGAGAGCCGGACGATCGGACAGTGGAAAGACGGTGACGAGTTCGGGTATGTGGAGATAGCGATAGTGGAAGACCCCGTGTTGGTGTTCAGGCAAGTCGTCCCGACATGTTGCTTCAGGTGTTTTTGTTTTCAGAGTTCAATCCCCTTGTGGTGAATATGTCTCTTTTCAGGTTCTAGTACAGTCGCTCATATTCCAGGACCTTCAAAGTTCTGAGCTCCCATGATCGGGACACTTAGGCCGCGGCCTAAGCTCACTTATAAGACTCCAAAGAGGTCACTTTGAGGGTCCTGGTTGATGTGACATGTGTGAACACTTGATGTGAAGATTGATGCAAGGAACTCCACCCCCAGGACCGACATGCCCAGGAAACCGTCTTCTCCTATGCAAGAACCCTAGAGACGAAAAGCCGGGAAGAAAAGCCATTCAGGTCGCAAGGAGTGTGTCCAAGAACGTCAGAACGATCGGCAAAAAAAAGAGAAGGCCATTGGCTGAGTCGGAAAAACCTCCTTGTGATCCTGAAGACTGCCCAATGCTTTTAGGTATGGAGTCGGAATTTGAAGCCCCTGACCTTTGATCTGGACGGACGTTCTTTAATACCAAATCCGACGCGCGCGCGCGCGGACACGCGGTTGGGTTTCCGAGGCGTATCCCTTCTATCGGTTTCGAAACCGAGAGCCGGTCGCTTGGCATTTTGGGAGGATGGTTTCTCTTCAGACGAACCGCCTTCCGTCCAAGAACATGGGCTGACAGTTGGATGGGGACACTGACGAAGGTTTGCCGGTCGACTGTGCAGAAGATGCACCCTGGATGAAACAAACCATGTTATATACCACTCCTGCATCAGTGCTCATTGGTTTAGAGAAAATGAACAGGCACCGCAGGTTTGAATCGTATGTTGAATTGCTTCCCCAAATGATTGGATCATAGTTCGATTCCATTTTTTTTATAGCTTTGCCGTCTCGCTACTGGGCGGCAGAAATTCATTAAACCTTCCCCTCGTACTCCGAAGCACGTTCGCGTACGAACGAACGGAACGTCGACTGAGGCACTTTGGCTGGTGGGATGGCTGGAGACCCTTCGGGTCTCCGAAGCGGTCGAGGCCCGGACACGACTCCTTCTTCCGCGGTGACTTCCGCGTGTTTCGGACCGCGGGGGGCGGGGGGGGGGAAGGTGGATCTGGACGTCGATTTGGACCGGACCTTTCAGGGGTTTGGAGATTCTGAGGGGGTGTGCAGTGATGTAAAGTGTAAATGAATTGTCATGTGTTTCTTTTTTCCTCTGCTTGGAACACCAAACACATGCTCAGAAGGTCATCCCTGGACCTCCAGTCGTACGGCGTTTCCTAGAGCCTCAGTTCGGTGTCTCGTTCGGTGTTCGGTGCCAAGCAAGGTGCTGGTGGTGTATACATGATACATGTCACAATGAGCAGCACCAGTTTCGAAAAGCTGATGCTCCGAAAAGCGAAAAAGGTCGGTCACCTTTAGGACACAACAAGAACTTTCAAATTTGATCACATATGATCACATCCTCTTGGCAGGAGTCCTTGCTTGGGGCGCTCGTTTGCCGGTTCCCCTTCCGTGGTCGAGCCCCCGGGGTTCGGCCAGGCCTCGCAGGCCGAGCCGGAGGCCTCGCAGGGCGAGCTGGAGGCGGGTTGGGGCCACTCCTAAGAGGAAGGAAGGGAGAGTGAGAGAGAACACTGTGTTCTTGATGAGTGAAAAGGATCCCTAAGATCAGTCTGGCAATATGCTATTCTTTTTTTGAAATATATAGGTCGACATAGGTCGACTATGTCTATGTATTATATGTCACTATAACAAATCAAACGTTGGATGTTGCCGTGCTACGATCTATCCACCTATCTATCCACCTTCCTGCACCTTCCAGGCACATGTGCAGTCTTGGTGGCGTCGAATTCCGAAACGACACCGGTGCCAGCCCGGGGCCAGTGTAAAGCTTCGACCATGGAGGTTCCCAGAGGTTCCCAATGGTTCCCATATCCCACACAATCCATGATGGGATTGCTGACTCCCAACTCAAGGACCTCATGTCGATATCAGATGATATATCTGATATATCGTGTTTTCATAGTCATAGGTATCATGTCGACGGTTCATTGACCAAACCCATCTATCTAGAGGTTTGACACTTGAAAAAAGGGATGGTCTGATTCATCTAAACGGTCTAAAGCCTGACCTTTCCCAGCCCGGACATCCATCTTTTCTTCCATCTTCTCCCAGCCGATGCTGCGGAGGAGTCCTCCTCTGTGGGCGAAGCAGGCAGAGCTGAGCTGGGCGTGGGGGTTGAGGGTCCGTGCGCAACGGGCTGCGCTGGGTCCTGCAGGGGCTGCCGTGGCCATGTTGATCACAGCCTTCTGTCTTTTGGCAGAAACTCTCAGTTCAAATGCAGGTGGAACCTGGGTATGTGCCGTGCCTTTGCTTCTGCAGGGCTGGCTGGCCCTCTGCTGAATCTTCGACTCGTGATTTCTCAGTGACAAGACACCGGAGCCGATTCAAGTGAGCAGCATTTGGGGAGCTTGGACTAGGGCGTTTTCCATTGCAGTACCTGTAACAGTCGGTATACTAGGACCACAAGGAACACCCCTTAACCTCTAGGGGGCTATCAATAGACACCCCTTAGGGTGTCCTGGTTTATATGAATGATTAATAACAATAAGTTATCACTATTTCCAAGAAAGGCCTGCAACTGAACCAGATATCATCCACTGCACAGCGATATGTGACCTGCACAGCATATGTGACCTGCACAGCGATATCCCTCAATTTCTTGGAGCCCTACCCTGGATGGGATGAATTCTTTGAAGAAAAAACATTTACACACAGGGTGACATCGACGGTAGTAGCTATAGTTCACGTGATGGGACAGTCCAAGGGGTACCAGCTACTGTTTCAACACACTTGGGATCATTCATGAGGCTTCCAACACCTTCCAACCACTCCAACTTCAGTTTCAAGATTTGGGGGTTCAATAACCTTCACTACAGGCAAGAGACCATGTCGTCACCTATTTTTCAGGTATTGCTACCCTGCCTTGGGGGGGGGAAGGCAAGGGACTAACAGATTACTGTACTTTGTCAGGTTCCTGTAGAAGCTTCGTGTCATATACTTCATGAAGAGAAAACAGCCTTCCATGAGCCTTCATGCCCTTGGCAGCCTTTCAAGGGCACTAAAAAAAACACACAACCTGGAACAACCTGGTGTGGTTCTCCTGTCAAATCCTCGTTCTGAAACATTAGCAAACCCATCAAATTCTTCGGGATGGACCTTTGCCATGATTTGACCCGGGCAGGTGCCGATCCGAGACAGGTGGGCTCCGGCGGGGAGGGTGGCAGTGGAGGTTTCGAATCCGGAGAAACTCGGTTTAACATGGTTTAACAACGAACGCGATGTAGGGTTGGTCCAAGTGAATGGCTTTAGAATGTTGTAACATGTATATACATATTTTTTGTATCTTTATTCATTGAAACTGGTTGCTTCAAAATTTTCGACATGTATTTTTCAACTGGTTTATCCAAAAAGCGGTCAGTTCACAGGTTTCTCAGAAGAAACTTCTTGGGCTCCCTTGCGTTTCTGGACGCGCAGGTGGACCCAGTCGCCGAGAACGGCCTGGCGGACGCGAATGTGGAAGCGCCCAGCCCTGTGACCGACACTCGCGAGGATGAGACGGGGCATTTGAGTGCCTCGGCGCGGTTGTTGAGCAATTTGTTGATTTGTTTTACCGATTTTTCTACGGATTTGTTTCGGTTCGGATGGCTCCTCAGCTCCAACAGGCAAAGATGTCCGGCACAGGGAAACCGGCCGAACGGTCCCACCAAGGCCGAACGGAAGGGCTGCTGTCTGATGGCCGCGCCATGGCGCGCTCGCGAGGCCGCTCTGTAGAACGCGACCCGGTCGGGACCCGGTTGGGTCCGATGTGGAACGGGTTCCGAGCGGGGCAGCTCTGAGTTCTACGGGGCGACGTCGACGTGGCATGTCTCTGTTGAACATGGTTTGCTCATGCGCCCATGGGAACTGGAGAGATTCTGTGGAAAGATGCAAGGCGAGCACAGGGTCGTAGTCAAAAAGGGTGGAAAGATGTGCCCCACTGCAAGCTGTTACCATCTTAAAGATTCCTCAGACGCCAGACTACAGATATCCTAAGTTTCAGGATTTTCAAGTTGCTTCTGACTATGAAATGCTGTAAATGTGTGCTCCATGGAGCAAATTAAGAACTGATCTCGACCAAATATCATTCATGTACCTCGGGACAATTCGGCATCCCTTTGACTCGACACCTGTTTTCAAGCTGCAGTTGCTCTCTATGTTAGATCCACTCCCTAGAGGGGATGGGGATGTTTAAGTAAAAAGGATATGTATGTCCAGGCTGGAGTTTCTTGAAGATGCCAACTTTCCACAGCAAAGTTTTAACAACTGTCCAGTTCTTGGAGGAATTGTTTGGGGGATTTGGAACATCCCTCATCCTCCACTCACTTCTTTCAACACCAAAGCAGGAAAGAAACGGATCTGCACTGTGCCAGTGCGTGCAGATCCACAAAAAAAACCTGCCGCCCGAACCCTCTCTCTCCGGAGGAGCTCGCTTTTTGGAGCGCTGGCAGCTGAATCAAGCCTTCTCTACCTGGCGAACTCTGTTCCATCTGCTCTTGGGGCTCTTGGCCTGCTTTGCACCTCGTCATCTGCTAGTGTGGGTCTATGGACTACACGTGCACACCAACCACCTCATTTCACATCCCTGGACATAGAACTTCGAACTTTGCATTGATTTCCAACATCTTCCCATCCAACCCGGCCCCCTGGCATCATCCAACCCCAGAAGGTCCCTACTTCGCAGATGCCCTGCTGTTTCAGCAGCATTGACTCAACGAGGTGAGTTGCAAGTGCCTTTTGACCTTGATCCCCGCGGAGAAGATCGAATTGGAGGAACCACTTCGGAACATCTCCTGTTCAGGCACCTACAGCTGTGTGGTGGGGCGGCAGTCTTAGCAATTTTTCCTGGGGAACTCACTGGTGAGGCACTGTAAGATGAAAGGTTGCCCTTCCCGGTATCACGTGCACCATTTATATAATACATATATGGTCCATAATATGGTCAATATCCATATACCTGCTAAACCTTATAACCACCTTTCGTTGTCCATGTCGCTAATTGTTGTCTTTTGGTATGCAAGGACGAGAGTTGTTGTCCGGGACGTGTTTTACCGTAATCGCTGAACTTGGTCTTTTCACAACACTCAAATATATCGATATTCAATAGTGTTCAGGCTTTGGACGTGAAAAAACGTTCAGGATTTAAAAAGGACGTGAATTCACAAGATGGACGTAAATGTTGCGAGAGCTTGCAAAAAGCTATCTTTTAGCATCCTGGACTGGAATTGGTATCTATCCAGGGTAGCAGGTACTATCCATGACGTTTCCACATATACCCAACTCCAGAGATTGGCATGTCTTGTCAGTTCGTTCACCTGGGTCTCCCCAGGTCAGGGCGATCTGGCGCATTTCCTGGAGACGCGCGAGGAGAGCTAAGTCGTTTTGGGGACGGTGTTCGGCCCTTTGAGAGGATATTTGTCTCGTTTTTGCCGAGGAAGTTGGTTGTTCATTCGGTTCTTTAGGGAGCACATGACAGCCAATGAGAGAGAGAGAGATAGAGAGAGAGAGAGAGAGAGACAGAGAGAGAGAGGAGCATAGCTTGGGCTGCGGGATATTTTTGGGGATTTCCACTATTGGATGATTCTTGGCTCTTGAAAAAGTAAAGCTCCTGTTTTTACATTCCAAGCGTCACCGAGACGACTGTCGCCTTACCCCAGATCACCATTCACCATCCAGGTCACATGGAGTGACGGGTGGTTTGGAGTCCCCCAACTCCGAACTCGCTGCCCCAACACCCAATTCGTTCCGTGGCTCAACGACGAAGCCCGGAAGCCCATCGTGGGAGGATCTCCACTTCGCGCTGCTGAACGACACCTTGGGTCGCTGGAGCCCCGATCGGGTCGGTGCTTTTCTCACGGGGTGACCCGCATGGGATGCCCCGGAGGGTCGACTGATGTGCAAACCTGGGTTGCCCTGATTTCAGGCCCTGGAATGTCTGGTGAACCGTGTGAACGGTTGTTTTTGCGGGGTCATATCAGGGAACCCTAAGCAGAGTGGTAGAGGGAGAAAGCAAGCCTTCCCGTACCCTCCGTCCAACGGTCATGGAGGTGGACATACCCCTCTTTGGTCTTCGGAAGATCTTCCGCTTCCCAGCGGCCTATGGGCGGAAAACTCATGGAGGGAGATGTCAGGAGTCCCCCTTCATTCTCTTTTCACCCCCACACATCAGTTTTGTCCAACGGCCATTTGGGATAATACGATCTGGCGGGAAAAAAAGAGAAACACCTCGTATTGACCTTTTTTATGACATCTCTTCCCAAAAGGTCCTGCCACTCCAGGAGTAGCCCTGGTGTGGCCGGAGCTTGGTTGCCACTCTGCTCCTCCACGCTGCTGGGCTGTGCACCGGGGCATTTCGCCCTCGAGGGCGCGGAGCCCTCGCTGAGCTGCAGCGCCAAAGGCGTGTTCGGCGACGTCCGGGCGCGATTTTTCGCGCACAGTGCGGTGAGCTGGAGGTGACAACACCGGGCTACCTCTCTTCCTTTTTAAACCCTTGTTAAACCTTGCTTTACGATTCTAAAGCATGCAGATAGGAATTGGATATTCATCCCAACCTCATTCTATCCCATCCCTCTTTTTTCTTCTCTTGACTGCCAGGCGCCTACGTTTGGCAAGGCTCCTGCAGTGCGATCAGCTGCGGAGCCCCTCCGCGCCTGCCGCACGCCACGCCGCGGATGAGCGTCGCTGGGGAAGCAGTAGAGAGGGCGACTGGGGAGTTTTTTTTTTTTTTTTAAATTATTTTATTTATTACTATTCTTTTTTAAAAAGGCAAAGTTCAAGGAGTCTTCGGCTGAAAAGACGTTCCTTGGGCAAAGGGGGGACGTCGTCAGATTACGTATGTTTCACATGGTTTTGGGACTCCCAGGATGGTGGAGTGTGATGCAGCCTGATGACATGGTGGTGGAGTGGTGGTGGGTCATTGCCATGGCAAGCCAACTCAAGAGTAGGGCCTAGGGGCTGGGAGGATGACAGTACTACGAAGAAGACTGTGACTTTTTGGGGGAGCTCCCAAAATTCGTGGGGGAGTAATCAATGTCCAATCTTAACTAGTAAAACGGCACCCCCCCCATCCCAGCACCTACTTGATGGCTGACATGAGCGAGCTCGCACCACTCCATCCGGGCAGAGTTGTGGATTTCTCGACCCTTCTGGGCGGGTCAGACAGGACATCAAGCGGCAGAACTGGACCTATGGCGTGACGGTGCACTACGACTGCGCCCCTGGGGCGGCACGAAAGTTCGATGGTACGAGGAGGGAAGGATGGAGAAGAGTGGACTGATCGATGACGTGCAGAAGAAGGAAGGGTCAGTGCGGAGTTTGAATGTTAGCCTAAACAACCACTGGAATCCCCTTGACGAATCAAGAATTTACCATAAAACACCACTGATTGGTTCTTTTCATGGCTGCAGCATGTCTGGGTCTCGTTTCTGATGACGAAGTACCCTCCCCTCCCCGATCCTGGAAAGTGGGGTCCACAGCTGTTTGTAGAGGAAGGGCCCCAAAAACATGCTGGGAACGGTGGTTGGAACGACCGACCGGGTTAGATGTTTGCTCATCTGTCCAGTTCAAGCTCCGTTTTTGGGGCATTCATCATTCATCATCCAGCATCCAGAGTGCGGTTTGGGGCAGTGTCCTTGAAGTCTTCGGGTTTGACAAAGAAGAGAAAAGGAGCCTCGGTGACCTATCCAGTGACAGTGCAAGAGTCTTCACACAAATTGACTGTTGCTGTACCATGCAGGCGGGGGTAAATCTTTTCACCATTCACAGCGGGGATCACACAGAAATTCAAGATTCACTCGTTGAACATTCCTTGTTACGCGGGAGTGAACATCACCTTGGAGTGGTCAGCCGGATTGCGCGGTCAGGCAGCCGGTCAGGAGAGCGGGGCCGTGGGCCGATCCACGTCGTTCTGATGCCGAGTTCCTGTGCGGGGTAACGTGTCGCACTTCTCGGATGCCCAAGGACAAACCTGGCTACTGGGGCAGCTTGTCTGCTCACTGCAATGTCACAGGGTCGCTTGGTTTGGAGTTCGGGTCGGTCGACCCGTGGATTCACTTGTGGGGGCCTCCAAAACCAGGAAGAAGAATTCGAGGGTTTCAAGAGGCATGGTTTGTGAACACTTGAAGTCCATTGATTCCAAGATGTTGCTGCCTCCCTTCATCTTCCTTCTGTCTCCCCACTAGCTTCAACCCTGTTGGCCTTTCTCCAATGACCAACGATTGGCTCCAATGACCAACTCGAAGGAGGCTCCGACGCGGACGATGTTGTGGCCAGCGAAACGATCGTCGACTTGACCCGGCATGCGATCCGACCCAGACAACCCTGGAGTGGTTTGAGGATGTTTAAAGGGTCAATGTAGGTAAAAATGAGGAACCGTAGCTTCCCATTGTCATGTGGATGTGGTGATTGTAGTCATTAGAAGTATTTGGACATATTTTTTGGACTAACTACCTAGATCTACTCGAAGTTAGGTCAAATTCCCCACCCAAAAATCCTCCAAAATCCTCCATCAAACCCTCCTCCTCTTCCAATCCAAGCGAGGACTTGGCTGGTGGAAGGTGCCTGCGTGGAAGTCACCTGCAACGCCCCGCCCAGCGTGCCACACGCGCAGCCTTTGTGGGATCCGGAGCGGGGCAACGTGAGCACAGGCGCGGAGCCGCGGAGCCGCGGGGCCGTCTAGTCACGAGTTAGGACCCAGGATTAGGTGGGACTTCCGGGGTAAAATATCTGAGAACATCAGGACTTTGTTTGGCTCATGTTCAGCGGAAAAACACACACATCTTTCCCTGATTTGCCTCACTGCCAAGGCTGCCAAAGGACTCATTTTACCATATTTTATGCCGGATGGTAGCGGTGGATGACATGAAACATGAGTCGAAACAGTTCTGGGTTAGAGAACAAGGGAAAATGAGCCCAGAAACCGATATCTAATGAGCCCAGCCACGCTCATTCCTTGCGTCCTTCATCGCGGGCTACAAGCCTCTGTGGGGTGAAGTCGTGTTCCGCGGCTCGACAGGGTGGAAGCTACGGAGTAGGTAGGGCGACGTAGGGAGCACATAAGTTGATGATTAGACCTTTGGCATCTCGTAGCTTTTTTTGCTTTGTGGATGTTTGTGGTTGTCCATTCACGAAAAATGGAAGCTGGTTAAACACGGAGTCTGGTTCGCAAAGGACAATCATTGTGCCCATCTGAAACGATTTGGGTTTCCTTCACGGCAAGGTTGGAAGGTGTATTGTCGTCAGACAGACCTCTGTATGAATTAGCTGTCTGATATATTTGCTCATGTCATCTCATGTCAATGTCATCATCTTTGCATGGCTTTTGTGTCATCTCATGGGTCCGCCAGTGGCCCTCCTACCTCCACAGACCTGTCGACCTGTGTCGTCGCACCGCGTCGCGGAGGGATGGTGATTCGCTATCAGTGCGATGAGATGTACAACGGCACACCGACGGCCAGTTGCGGAGACGACGGCATGTACATGATTTCAGGCGTGGCGGGAGGGGTCTCGGCCTGGCCGAGGTTGAGAGATGAGGAGGACCGGACGTCCACGGGTTTCTTCCCGCAGATCAGTGAGGATGGGAATGGGTTTGTCTCCAAGGTAGACAACTATACTCGAACACTTCAAACCAAGTCTTGGCACCTCAAAACCTGGGGAAATGAGACCCCAGACCTCTCCATGTGAGGGTCCGGCCCCTACCACCATGCAGCGAACGACCTTCCGGGTAGGTCAACAGCAAGGCATCTTGGTGCCGTGATCTACAGCCATAAAAACCGGTGTTTCTATCTCTCCCATTGTGCTCCTCAAGAGCTTCGACATTCGGACGATCACACCCTCTCGTCCCAGCCTTTAGGCTTTGATGCTTTGGTTTTTCTTCGTCTTTTTTGACCTAGGCTCACCAGGTTGAGTATACCAACAGAGGTGGGTCAGAACCCTACTCTCCCTTGGTTAGGAACCCTAGCTAGTATGGGCCCCTTTTCAGGGCACTCGAAAAAGAAGCACCTCTCTTGGTAGCTCGAAATCTTGGGACTCGCTCCACGACGAGGCCGCTGCCGCCGCGAGTGCGGCGCGCCGCCCCGCGTGCTGCACGCCGCGCCGAGGCGCCCGGGTGGTGGTGTGGCTCGTCCCATCAAGGGGGCCGTGGATGTGATGTGCGGGGCACCCCGACTACCGCCTTAACCTCCATGGATGGCACCCCGTCGAACGTGACTGCTGTATAACCATCATTAGTTGGAGACTCTTGAGGACCATAACCTCCCCCAGTTGAATTGAACAACCTCTTTACATGGAGGGTTTATGAATCAAGAGTCTACAGTCTACATTAATGGTAGAATATGTTGGTGTATGTGTTGAGATGCTTTCATGAGCGTGGTGTTTGAACCAAAACTCCTTCCAACACTTCCACACCTTCCGTTCATCTCGGGCATCAAGCCGCTGATGCCGTTCGGCACGCTGGATGCTGAGCATCGGTGTGGCTTTTCCTGGTCCTGGAGGTTCAACAACACGGAGGCGAAGAGCGGCTGGTTCGTGGGCATGCGCTGCCCTTATGTCTGCGACCCAGGCGCCGTTCCGTGCGACCGCGACCGCGTTGTGGGGTGGGGGTTCCGAACGGGTGGGGGTGGGGCGCGGGTTCCTGAACATCCAACTTCCACTGGATGGGACTCAGAATTCCTTTTCAACTGCTGGGTGTTTGATCCCCAAAACGTGAAAGAAGACTGGGGCTGCGATTTCGGTGTTTTCGGGCGGCGGCATGGTTCTTGGGGTCCGCTCTTGAAGACATCTGAGGAAATTACATTGAAGCTTTGAGTGGCGGACCTGGGACGGTTACCATCGCTTTTAGGCTGGTCCTTTGCAGCCCGAAGAGTGCAGTCCCTGCAGACGGTTTTGAGGGATTTCCAAGAGCCTCCCACAAAGTGGGCGCCCCAACTCCTCCAGATCTCAGCATGTCTTGGCTCACTCACAGGATGTTGATGTGGATGATCTGGACCCCTGCAAGACCATTATTTGTTGCTGGTAAGTAACACTTGTTCTTTTTTTTCACTTCCACGTTAATGAGTCCAAGAACAAGTGGGTTTTGGAGCGATTTGAGTGTTTGGGAGGAGCTGATGCTGAATGACATTGTTATCCACCATCATCATGGCTCAGTTGAATTCCTGCCATGCGAGTCGAAATGATTTGGCTGAGTAGAGCTTGTTCTGAGGATGAGGAGACTAGAACCTGAGGACCTGTGAACTGTACTGGCAGGTCATGCACGACTTCAAAAAAACCATCACGGCTGCTCAAACTGAGACGTGAACCTTTTAGTATATATAGTGGCTGAAGGGTCGCAGCCATGGCACCCGGGCACCGTTTTTGTGTGACCTAACGAGTCGGTCAACCTACCAGGGTTTGATGCACCTGGGCGAAATGGGTGCCATGACTCCATGACCCACAGCGTGATGTCAAGGTGCCCGGAAAACCAGCTCGGAGAGATAAAGAACTCCTCACATGCTTCGGCAAGACTTCAAAAGTGCGATGTTGGCAAGAAGTGGACTCTTGTTCGAGTGAACTGGGTGTTCGAGTGAACGGGTGAAACCACTGAACGGCTCCAGGCCGGAATTCCGAAGTTCGCGGCCTTTGGCTTCATCAAAGATACAAGCTTAGTTAGTATTATAGCACGGACTGATTTCTAGTTCGGGACTTCTGGCCAGGTGGAATATTTTGACTGTAGATGGACCCAAAAACATTGACCCTGTGCAAATCATTTGAACCAAGCACCCCAATGTGAGTGAATATGCCCGTCCCAATGGATTGTGATCTCGATATGTCTCGATGTTTCCTTCAGCCTTCGGGCGCCTTCAGCATCGCCCCAGGCTACCAGGGCTATGTGACCGCACTCTGCGAGGAGGACGGTCCAAATCAGGTACAACAAGGATGGACAGGATGGACAGGGGTATTTTTTGGACTAATTAAACTCTTTAAGGGTGGAATTGAAGGCTGGGGTCATATACAGCATAGAAGAGTATATCTTCATCATTCTTCATTCCATGTTTTTGGACTATAAACCTTCAAGACTCCAACGGCTCAACGAAGTGGTTTCTAATTGATGTAGACTGTTAATGAACGAACACCCCGGCTTTGGATGCGCGGAGTCCGCGGACTCGCTCAAAAACCAACCGTCCCTTGCCCTCAGGTGGGGCGGGTACGGGCCGGTACGGGTGGGTATAGCTGGACTATGGTGACACTTGTCAAACAGGGCTATGTACACTACGAATCTACTGCGAACGAAAGGCAATGGCAAAGACGGATGGTAAGACCGATACCCATGTCGGGGCGTTGATTCCTTGACGCAGCCTACACTAGTTCGGAGTTGACCATAGTTTTTGATGGAATTTTCAGCCATTCGAGTCATGGTTTTCCTGGTTTTCGCATGGTTTTCGCAGGTTTTCGCTCTCCTTTCCCACGGTTTCTGCGTTTCTTTAAGGAGTTCGGAGTTCTCAGTCGGGTCTGGGGGGTCTGTGAGTCTGGTGAGAATGGAGGTGAGCCAGGCTGGGACTCTGCGTGGTCTTCGCGGTTTTGGGCCAAACCTCTTCACGTTCTGTCTTCGGATGAGTCTTCGGATCCCAGACACTCCATGGGACTGCCATATATGCCGATCAATTGGCCCCCAAAACCACCCAATGTAGGCATATATACATGGAGTGTCTTCGGATGGGTCTTCGGATGTTTTTGGAATCCAGGCGCGTCACTCCGAGTGTGGGAGTCGTTTCGTGTGGGAGTTGGATGAAGTCCAGAACCGACATCCGTAGACTCTCTTGGATTGAGTCGAGTCGTTTCTGGGGTTTCCGAGTCGACCAGTTGGTCCTCCGAGGTCCAGGTGGTTCCGAATCAACCCAAGTTGGGGTTCCACCACCTGCACCTTCTGAGATCCGATCCACTTGCACCTTCATAGTGCTCCGGTCAACTTGATGACTTCACCGAGCCCCCTCCGATGAAGCCGACGTTCTCGCGGGTCTGAGCCTGTCGCCTCGCAGCGGCAGGGTGGGAATTACAGCGTCTCAGGGCATTGTGCTCCGGTGCTATGCGGCACTCCACCCAAGCTGCCACAGGTGGGACCGGCTTGGTCGGAATCGCGGAACGGTGGAACTCCACCGTCGGACGCGCGAACCGTGGGGGGATGTTGGGTCGGGAGATCTGCGGACCCGGGGAGGCGGGGACCTCGTCTACACGACGTTTTTGGCACAGTCAGTTCTACAGTTGACCACTTCAATGAAACGCGACCGATGGGCGATGATGGGCTTGAAAAACCCTATGTTTGGACCCGGTGAGGGCCGACCTTGTCTTTTTTCTTCCCTATATTTTCTATCCAACCTGAATGACCCAGCGACTAACTATCCCCAAACATGGCCATTTCTGATCAAGACCGAGGTCGTGTCTGGGTTTTAGGACATATAGATCTTCCAACTGTGACAAATTTCTGCCTTTGGGCTGGTTTTATGGATGAAAAGGCACAAATTTTGCACAGTTGGAAGATCTAGGGATCCAGGTATCTCAAGATTGCATGTCCCGCTCGCAGTTCAATCCCATTGGATGAATTGAAGAGCGCAATGGATGCTTCTGACCCCCCCACCGGCACTCTTGAGCGCCGGGCACGGAGGCGACGGCACGGATGGAGGATGTGACCAAGCAGCTTGGAGGTTTCAGAAAACCCATGGAAGACCTATATACTTAGGGTCTGTCCGAACTTACCTGTAAGAGTCAGTAAACAATTATCATCATGCACTGTTACAGCTATCAGGATAGATCCAACTTATACTACCTTCCCTCCAACTGCCCATGGAAGAAGTGGACAATCCATGACGTCATCCCCTGTTTGGTATTCGGAACAATGGTCTTTCGACGGAAGAATTGCCATCCACTTATACATGACTTTTGAAGAATAAATAATACGTTGACCTCAATACTCCAGGGAATTGAGAATGACATGGAATGACAGACAAGCAGGAGCCAATTGGCGTTGTGTTTCCTTTCACGCACCACCAAAGGGGCCTTTTCCCTGTCCGGTTGAAACAGGTCGACGGTAGAAGGTACCTCCAAGTCACTCTCTTGACCAATCCGTTCAAGAAGGACTGGCCTTGACCATCCAAACGGCCGGTTGTCCTGGCCACTTCTTCCACCCCTCTGTCTCACCCGCCGTCACCGAGCGTCGCCCACAACATGGCAAACCGCAGGTGCGGTCCGTCGCGCAGCGGTCCGTGGCGGTTCCCTCGCCCGGGTTCTGAGGCAGAACTTCAGCTTTGGGTCGTTGGTCCATTACGATTGCAAGGCGCCGAGGCCTGGAATCCCCACGTGTCGACGAAAAGACGGAAGACGTGGGGGACGGAAGGAAGGAAGACGGGGGGCCTGTGATCATCTGTGACCCGCCCTTTGGGGGATCTGAGGTTTCTGTTGGGGGGAGTGACTGTGACGTGGGGGGGGGGGTGGGGTCAGGGGAATGGGCACTATATATGAACAGCAGGTGGAGGCCATGGTGATGGTGGTTGTCGCTTGCGGTGTGCAGAAGGACCATTCGAACAGGTGTTGCGGTGTTGCGATCTGCGACCGAAAGACAGAAGCACCTCCGTGAAGAGGCGGCCAGAGTCAAGAAAAGCGCTGCTCGTTCGAACCGAAAGTGCAAAGCTTCGCCCAAAGCAACGCTCCACGCAGAGGTTGTTCGACGTTTGTTCCACACCCTTCAGCCTTCAGCCACTCAAACACCTGCTGTCCCACCAAGACGAGGCATGGCACAGTGGTTTTTTTTGTCAAAAGGACTTGAACCTCCCTGCCCCTGCTTAGAGTCTTTCAGAAGCTTTGTACTTCAATCAGCCAGATCCACAAGCAGATCTATGGTTGTAAGATTCTCAACAGCCATAACCTTCCACCGCAGGGATGTGTGCTTTCCACCATTTTTGCACAACAAGTTCGACTCCTGGTGAGGAATGTATTGCATAAGCGCCCCACGCTCCTTTTTGGGGTAGCATGGCGTGGTCAGCAGTCGCACTCCAAGTGCTGGCCAGCAGAACCTCTGCCTGGCAGCGGGCATGTCAAAGTAGGTCTCGAAAACTCAGTTGTGAACTGTTTTTTTGTTTAAAGATGTCCCACAGCCGGGTTCATTACCACAACATGTGTCTTTTGTTGGCATGTTGTTTCAAAATAGATTCTCCACATGTCCACCATGTTCCAGCCAATTGGAATCGGACTCGGTCTCAGGTTCCACGGCCAGCTGCTGGCGACGTGCCTCTCGACCAGTCGCTGGGAGGTGAATGGCACCTGCGTGGAGGCGAGTAAAGAGAGGAATCCGATTCGGGGTCCATGTGCGTCCAATTCTCCCGCAGCAAAGGTGCTGAGGCGTTGTATATATATAGGCTTCGAGCAAATCAATCAACCAGGAGGATCAGCTGCTAGATAAACAGCTTAAGCTTTAGCTTGGGGGGGTGTCTAGAACGTGGGGTTTGGCTTTTTTGATTGTCAAACATTGACATCCCCTGTATGGTTTTCTGTATAGCTTCGGAGCTAAGTGTTCGCGATGTCGGCTATGCACACCGAGGGACAGTGCTTTATTGACATCGTGTGTTTGTGTGTTCGTCAGGGATGATTGCTCGACAGATCTGCCCGACAGAGCCATTTTGTCGGGAAATAGGCGATTGATATCGCGTCGTCGACAGCTATTGTGGAGGAAAGTAGGTGGTAGAGAGCACGCTTCCCTCAACAACGCTTCCTCCCGGCGCTCAGAGCACAAGTTGCTGCTTCCCACGCCAGTAACCAGCCCGTATCCTCGTGGGGTGCTACTGCACATTATCCATTTAATCTGTGCACACGGCGAAGCGGTGTGAATAGATAGTGGCTATTTTTCTATCATTTTCTATCTACTTCGGGTCTATTGAGCTAGTCTCAAAATCATATAGTAAAAATAGAATAGTCAGTGAGTGGCCATGGGAGTTAAACGTGCATGTTTTGTTCAAAGAACGATCACACACTCACCAGGGTGACATCGCTTGTGCGCGCGCAAGAAAGTCCAGTCAGGCTCTTCTTGGCAAGTATTTGTTCGCACCATCCAAAAGATCATCTGCCACTTGATAACAAGATCAGAGCTTCTGACATCAACCCAACTCAAGACCCTAGGGATCCAGTTGTATATACCTTCTGAAAAGGTAGGACTGGACCCTCCTGGCACCAATCACCTTCTGACAAGGTACTTGGGGATCTCCTAGGGAAAGACGAACAGCCTGTTGTGAGCAGCTGTCAGGTGCACTGCTCAGCGCCACCCGCCGTGGACCATGCGAGCCCGTTGGGAGATCAGGAGAACGTGACGGCCGGCACGGTGCCGTGCCAGCATGGTGGGTTGGGATGGTTGGTTAGTAGTAACAAGTGCCACGCTACTAGGAACAGGTGCCTTACTAGTAGTAACAAGAAGCTATTAGAAACAAGTGCATCGCTTCTAGTAACAAGATTTGGTTTGGATCTACAAGTGAGAGGTCTTTTCCCCCCAAACCAGCACCAAAGCAAGGTGAAAAACTACATGGGAAACACTTTGGGTTCGATATTTCATGATATTTCCATGATTGGAATATGTTTTGAGGCTATCTGCTGCTTGTAGAACTCTTTGGGGGGTTAAAACAATTTAGAATGGTCCGATGCAGCCATTCCATTCTGACACGCAACTCCATTCCATGCGGCTTTGGCGCTTCATCCTGAATCTATTCCACCGGATCAGACTCAGTCAGTCGTACGTCTTCCGAGGTGCGGGAGGGTTGGAGTGATCCTCATTGGACAACACACGAACGACACGAACTCGTTGTCCAAACTGAGGGTCATCATCATGTTCATCCCACATATCTGCCAATGCATTTCTGGAAGAACTCGCAGTCTGTGTTGCCTCGGCGATTTGACACCAGAAGCTTTCCTGTGTGGCCTGGCCTAATGGCCTAGGTGATCCGCTACCAGTGCGAGGAAGGCTACAATGGCACGGTGAGCGCCATGTGTGGCTACGCCACGGGACAGCAGAGCAGAGATTGCAGGGATGATGCTACGAAGATGATGGCTATCTTGAGGGTTCAGTTTTTTTCCATATATTTTTTCCGAGAGATAGGCAGATTGGAAGGTGGCAAGAACTCATGATCTAGGCCAGAAAAGAATCTTGACGGCCAGGGGTTTTGTTCGGATGACCTTTCCACTGGGAAGCCTTATATAGACGTTTTTTGTTGTATACTCACAAACCTCCATATTGCTACTCAGTGGCATGGCTCCTGAGAGAGGCCTGTTGTGAAATTTCCTTTACCGGCAATCTTTTGCCATCTGAGATGCGAGAAATGAAGGACAAACATTTTTTCCAGTCAAGTACCAGGTCTTGGAAATTCCTTCACCACAAAACATGATTTTTTTGAACAATATGGATTTCACTCTGTGAATTCATATGTTGACAGCAAGTCCAAAAGACAGGTTCAACTGGTGCGTTTCCGATAAAGGACGCATGTCAGAATTTCACCCGACCCAACTTCCAAGACCTCATTTTTCACAGGTTATTTTTTTCGTTTTGCTCAAACCCAACCGGTGAAACTGGCGTTGACACGCTGGGGCTGTGAGGGACCTCCGACCCGAGGATAGCCAGTACATCCTGCTGGGGCGCTGCCGCCGCGAGTGCTCGGACCAGCTCCCGGCGGTGCCACACGCGGCGCCAGCGTCCAGTGCAGGAAGTGCGGCACCTGCAGTGGGCTGGTTGGCAGGCGAACAAGTTAACACGGGAAGAAAGCTGATGGGCGAGCTCGAACCTATTTAGGATCTATTTGGGCTTTGTTTGTTTTAACATAACAGTGGTTGGGGGTGATGACATCCTAAATTGCCCAGAAACTATAACAGGGTAATTCGCTACATGACTGTTTTCTCTTGCCCGGAAGCGTCTCGTGCGGAATGCGGCTGATGTGTGAGCGTCGGACGACCAGCGGATCCAGAATTTCTGGACTTCCCATCTCCCCAGGCCTCTCTTTTCAGCTCCTACATGCTCTTACCCTGGTCACATGCTCCTAAGCGCTCTGAGTCTGTAGAGTTGAGGACAAAAATGCTTCTTTGAAGTCGGTCCCAAATACGATGTCACTCTGCTGTACCCACTAGACTCATACGCTCTGAGTCTATAGTGGATAACTGTCACATTTTTCAGTACCACCCCTGCCCACCCGTACCCTGCACCCTGCCCTGCTCACAGCCGGGCCCTGAGAGGCATGAACGTGCCCTACAGCTGCCTTCACGGCTACGACGGCGCTGTCTCGGCGATCTGTGGCAGCGACGGGAACTACAGCATCGTCGGAGCGCCGCGCTTGGCGCGTCGCGACGCACGTGCCGTTGTTGGGGGGCGAAAGACTGGGCGCTTTTGAGGGGGGCATCTGTGGAGGATGGTGGCATTTTCTTGGAGAAGGTCCGGTTTTTCTGTCTCCTCAGGTCCTCAGCTTTTACACCTTCCTTCATCATCATTGATCAGTGCGCATCATCAGCATGAAACCTTTCATACATTTTCATAACCTTCGGCTTTGTTTTTTTGCCGCTGCTGAGCCTTGGTGTAAGCAGTCGGCGGAATGGCCTAAACGGATAGGTCCTGAAGTAGGCAGCGGTAGGCAAAGATACGACGATTCCATGCAAGTGCATGCCACATGGGGTTTCAACAAAAATTACTATGACCGAAGATCGAAATATGATTGCGGTCTTGCGGTACAGACAAATTATACAGGCCACGGTACATGAGTGGTTCTCAAATGGGTTGCCAGCACGCTCTCCGCACCTGCTGCGCGCCCGCAGAGAGCGCGCGTGCATCCAGGACAGTGCCAAGTGGCTTCGTCGGTGGAAGCCAGGAGCCTCCGGAGCAAGTTGACAGGTGGGGGCCATCCGCACAGGGCTGTCCGTTGGAGTGAAGGTCCCGACGTTGGAAGGTCAGATCCTATGGTATGGTTGGAATTGAAGGCGAACACCTCTCTGATGTAAGCTTTTTACATCTAAATAAGGGTGAAAAAGACCTTTAGCAGTCTTGCGTGGGGGGAACATGCAGTTCCAGCCCCCAGGGCCTGGTTGCTGTTCAGAGGATCCTTGGACCCTAAACCAGCCTGGAAGGAGGTCGGAGGTCTAGTGGGCGCGGTGGAGGATGACTTCTGCCCAAGCGCGCCTTTGGTCCCTTCAAGCACAGTGTGAAGGTCCCACTTGGCCTCTGGTGACACGCACAGCCTGCCGAATCCCCTACCAGGGCTCTCATCAATCCTGTCATGAGGCCCCTAATCCAGGATGTTTACACCGTTTCTGAGGGTATCCTCATGTTCGATGGATTTTCCCACCACCCTCCAAACTGAAACGGTTTCCCTTCTTCTTCCATCTTCTTCCCGCATGTTCTTTTTTTTCCCCCCAGGTGTCTCCACCGCCATGGGCCTGGAGAATGGCTTGCTCTTCTTGGGCCTGGGGGTGTTGGCATACCAACGGTCGGGACGCCCGAGGGTGTCAGGGGACGCCTGGCCACGTGACGAGAGAGAGCTCGGAGGCACGAGAGCTCGGAGATCTCGTTGAGGATCAGCGGACTGTTGGGTTCAGGGGCACGAACTATCAGTCTGAATCATACCGAACGAACACCCAATATACCCCCGGAAAAAAAAAAACCATCTGTGCTTTCCTTGTGAATGGTGTAGTTTTTTTGGATGTTTTTGGGAGTTTTTATATGTTTTTATAGTTCTTTTTTTTTTTGGTAAAAACTCTGTTTGTGTTGTTGCAAGCCACGTTCTGCTGGTGGGGGGTTCTTTTTCAATTTCATGACTCAAAGGGTGGTTGGGTCTTGATCCCAGGGGTTTCTTTCTTCATGGAGAACTGCTCCGTCAAGAGAAGTCTGGCTATATCGGCATACATGAAATGCCTATAGAAGTATATATATATATCCCATTGTTATTTTACCCCATCAAGAGAAGTCGGTATAAAACATCGGTGTCGGTGGTCGGTCTCTTTCTGGGCCCCCCCGGTCGGTCGGCGGTCGGGAAAGTGCGGGACGGGTCCGACGAAGCGACGAAGCGGAACGGATCAGTGAAGTGGAAGGACGAAAGACACACGGGAAACATCGGCGAACAAACAAACAATTAATAGTAATGTATGTGTCATGTGTTGCCCATCTGTCATGAGCTGCGGAATTTTGTGGCATGTGTGTGTTCCGTTTTTCGTGTACATTGGTAGGTCAATCACCCACCGGACCCAGTGGCTTAGCCAGGTGGCTTTCGGATGGCACGAGACCTCGGCAGGTATCGTCGAGTGGCCACACCCGTGGTGGCCACCAACGAGATGGAGGGAATGCCGGGAGGCTCAACATGGGAGTTTCTCAATTTTTTCACAAAATTCAGGAGGTCAAAGCATGGTCCACCGACCAGGGACCTGGGCCTCCAGGTTTTTACTCAGCCGTTCTGGAAAGGGCGCCCTTTCAAGCGGTTTTGCAGAAGGCGGATTGGTCCGACGGCGGATTGGAACATGGGGTGAGATCGCTTGGGGGGTTGAGGTGGTTTCCAACGTTCCAAGGAACGAGCGGCTAAAATCCGCTCAAAGATTGTGGCACGTTGTTCTAAGATCCAGGAGTCACAAAGGGTGCCGAACTTGGAGGATTTGCCCCTGTCACATCCACAGCCCTTGGGACGAGGCACACCGCCTCCATGTGACTCGTGGGATGTTTCACCTTCGACCGAGCATCGACTTGGAGGTGGGGGGAGTTGTGAACGAACCTCGACCGGTTCAGTGCCGGTCCAGTGCTTTCCTCGATCGCCTCGACCAGTCAGGTCAGCGCCCATGACCGACGCTTGAACTCCCCGCGGATGCGTGAGTTAGACGCGTGAAGGCCAGCAGAGTGGCAAGCAGTTGACACAGAGGATTCTTGGGTTCTTGGAACAGGAGATCGTTTGACACATATGTTTCTTGCATGGTCATTTTCAATGTTCTTGGGTTGACACTGGTCTTTTGATCAGGAGAAAGAAAAGGATTGGATCCTTGGATTGGCGAGTCACACTAAAAAATACTATATAGAGGGACATGGCACTGGCGAATTATGAGTCGTATGCATGAATTATGTATCCTCATCTTAAGTTGTATGCGTGAATTATGTATCCTCATCTCAAGACGTATACAGTACATAATTCAATGACATTGAATTGCAATGTATCCTCATGAGGTATGACCATTGCGGGATCATTGCATCGTCTCAGGCGTTTCTTATGACGATTGCTCAGTCTGCAACGTCCGTCGCCGAGCTGAATCGCTCGGAGGATGGAAGATGAGACATGAAGTGGTCCCTATCCTTCGAAGACCCATTCTGAATTCTACAAGAATGGTTGACTTTACCTGCCTTTGTAGTGGACAATCCTTGGTTGTTTGGGATTGAGGCTATTGAATCGATGATGGTTCGAATCCTAGGGCGGTGAATTTAGGACTGAACATGTTCGGAGTGGTTTTTTTTCGGGCCCGTGCTCGTCATGTTTCAGGATTTGTTGGATCAGTGGGAAGAAAGCATTGGATTGGTGCTGGTTTTCTGAAAGCACATGAATCACCACCGACTTATTGGGGTTGAGTCTCATTTCGTCTCATTGAACTGGGAGAAAACCGCACATAACCCCCCAAAGTCGATCGTGCAGTTCGCTTGCAGCGGGGACCGCGTGGTGAATGACCCTTGCTCGATGGGGACTAGAGGGGGTTCTACAAGTGCCCATCGAGTTTGGGGTAAAACATGGTAAACTGAAAAAATCATGAAAAATCATGAGTTGCTTAACAGTTGCTTGGCTGATTTTGATTTGATCAAATGAAGATACCAATAATACATAATAATACTGCATATATATATAGTTCTAAGCTGGTCTAGTGAGTGAAGGTCAATTGACCTGCTTTCGGAATAGACAATGATCGTAAGTCCTATCCAAGAAGAAACATCAACAGATTTGGAAGAATCAAACCCCACATTCACAACACCACGGGGTCGTCTTTTCTTTCGTATTATTTTCTTTTGTGAGCCACCTGTAGGAGGCTGGCTGGCCACAGAATCCTTTCGCTTCTCATCTTCCATGAAACCCTTCAGATCTTGGAGGGACACTGCCAAGAGTGCGGCAAAGCCTTGTTTGGAGGCTGTTCGAACTTCGGCGCTTCGTGGCTTCTGCGGAACAAACTTCTGGGATTCCGCGCGGATGAACCCCATGATTTGGAAATCCTTTGGGATTTGATGCGCATGCAGATCTCTAGGATTTCTGGAGGCTTTTTGACTCCAGGGTTGGATATGATGTGGACCTTTGGCAAGAGGTCATCAGCAAACTGGGCACCTGGTGGAATCTTGCCGAAAAAAGACAATGTAGGGGATAATCCCAGCCAAGGGTAGCGATTATCAAAATTGGTCTCATTTCCTGCTGGAAGAATAACACAAGCTTTTTGAAACATGCCCAGTTGCTTTATTCAAGTCCAGTAGACTTGAGCTTGGGAAACTAAAGTGTGTGTGTTGACAGAAATGCAACTCAATTGGATCGAGGAGAGACTCATGAAACATGTTTGATGCCGCAAGACGTTTTGGCCCTGATACGTGATTGTCAGAAGTGGAAGAGAAG